CCCGCCCCCCTCCCCGCCGCTTACCCGGCCGGGCCAATCAGGCCACGGAGGCGCGCATCGCGCATCTTCCTCGACTTCAGCCAATCGGCTCGCGGGCCCGGGCCTGGCGCGTGGCCCGGCCGGCCAATCCCCGCCGGGGACGCCTCATAGCGTGCCCTTTGCCCTCTCACGTTCGAATCCCCGCCGCCAATCGCGGGGCGGAAGAAGGCAGCTCGCTCTTGTTTACTGTCTAGCGGCCGCCGGAGCGCGCTTTGCCTCCCTGCCAAGCGCACGCGGCCTGCTGAGCGCGCAGACATGCAGGTAGGAGCTCAACGACCCCCCCAGCACGCACCGGGCCGTGATTCGCGCCCCCGGTAGGGCCGGGTTGCTTCGTTCCCCCCCTTCCCCCACCGCTGCGTCCTCATTTATACCTATGATCCCGCCCCTACTTTCGAGTGGCGGGCCTGCCAGCTAACCAGCAGGCTGCGGCGCTGTCAACATTCCAGAACACGGCGGAGGGCTGTCCAATGAGAGGAGCGGGGCGGGGCTCGACTTGAGAACTTGGGACAGGCCGGGAGGTGGAGGTGGGCGAGGGCACGGGGCTGGGGCTGGCTTGGGGGTTTTTGGCCTGGGTCACAGAGCCTGACGTGCCGCATGAGACCCAGGAACGATTCCTACCCTAGTCCTATGAAATATCAGAATGTGACATTTATAAGGAGCTGGGCACTGTTAAGCAGCGGAGCAATGGCAGCCGGCCTGTTCTCCCCTGTGAAATTAGTGCTGTGGCACATCATGGACCGCCAGTTTAGAAAAGGAGAATAAAGTCCCAAATGCAGCGGTTGAAAAGCAGGAGCTGCTGCATGGCCGGAGCTTAGAAGAGCAATGGCAACCTGCTGTTTTGTCATTTGCTTCGTAGTTTTATTAACGGACGTGTAAAAACGTAAGTGATTCACTTGGGTTTAAAATGCTGGACTGGGTTGCAAAGCTCGACCGTTACTGTCCCCATGGAGAGAGGGGGTGGGCAAAGTCTGGCCAACAGGCTGGATTGGACTGTGGCGGACTCCATTTCCCAGCAGCCCTTGCATGTGTCGCTGCAGCCAGTTTCCATGGAGACCACAGCAGCTGTGGGGCTGTGACGGTGGGGCTAGGATTTCCATGGAGACGGGCCCCAGCAGCACTGGCAGGGAGCTACTCTGGGGCTGGGATCTTGCGGTGGTGACAGCGTGCTCCGGAGCTGGGGCAGAACTGCGATCTGCTGCCTGCATGCCTCTAGCAGGGGATCACAGCTCTGGCCCGGCCCTGGACCATGCTGTTGCTGCCACTGCAAGACCCCAGCCCCGGGCTCAGAGCAGCTCCCCGCCCACCCAGCCATGCGCCCTGCCAGCGCTGCTGGGACTAGCCTCCATGGAAACCCCGGCCCTGCACTGTCACGGCCCAGGGACTGATGAGTTATTCCCTGATCCTGTCATGGTAAGGCTGCATTTTTGCTGTGGACAAGCACTAGCTGTTGCAACGGCAGTGTGAAACCAGGTTACATCACAGTTAGAGTTCATCCAGCTCCGCAGGTTAATGTTTTGATCAAGTTCTTGGCTTGACTGCTTTTGTTGCTTAGACAGGGTAGGAAGTAGAGTAGAACTGTGCCTGCTGATTGTGTTTTTGAACAGTTGTAGCTGGCGTGGTGCTGACATGGTTTCAGTATGTACTGAGGATAGAGACCGTCTTATTCTGTAAAGGTCTCTGTTACAGAATAATCGCACCAAAAACCCCCCACATTTTATAATTTACCTCCTTCCAATAGAGGCATGGTGCCTGAACACTTGTAATATATGCTGCTGTTGAGTTGTTTGTTAATGGAAGATGATTTCAAACATGGCTCCACGATGGAATAGGGACCACGCTTTAGAAAGTCAACACTTCAGTCTGAGCATTGGAGAGGCAGTTTATTCAGGCTTTGGCGGGGGAAAAAGGACCCCCATATTAGTTTGTAAGTGATCCCTTTTGCTGATTTGGGAAGCAGTGCTGATACACTTATGAGTGACCCACTTCTTAGTTTCCTGGGGTGGGTGGCAGCGAGCAAAATCCTTCAACTTTTAGAACAGGGTCTGACACACTGACTATACACCCATTAGTTTGAAGACTGAAGTTGTCAGACAGACCTGTGTAAAAAGCTTGTGCACCAGCAAGGTCCAGGAACAATATGATACTGAGACAGAATTATCCATGACACTTAGCAGATGGAAATGGGCTTCCCAACAGCATTCATTCTCTGAACAAGATCTGGGCATCTATTCTTCAATTTTTTTTTTTTATATCAGTCTAACGTGTCTGAAAAATGCGAAGGTTTCCCACAGTTTCCTTGACTGCTAGAAGGGAGAGAGACCTTTGTCTTTTTTTCTGTCTTCTCCCAAGAACATGTAACTCTACTAACCTGTAGTCTAATTAGACTAATTTAATGCTGCTAGTTTCCTTTTTTTGTGTCCTCCAATGGGGAGGGCTGCAGAGCCCATCTGTTTAAAAAAAAAAAAAATAAAAAAAATTGTCAGTATTGCTACTGCTCCTGTTCAGTGAAGCCAAGTGGAATATAGTTGATTCCCTTCAACTAAATTTTGGGAAAATAATTTGAAATTGAACAGAGGGGCTGGTACTGTATCTGTAAGATTAGGAAGGGATCATCATACTGGTTTAAATGCAGGTTACATTTAGAAGGTTATCTGTGAAACCCTAAGGGCTATACAATTTTTTTTTAAAGCGTTAAATCTTGCAAAAGTTAACGACTCCTCCAGTCTGGTTCATTGGAAAGAACCTCCTGCTTGCCACTGGACATCATATTTTATAAACCCAAAAGAGAGAGGAAAAAAGGATGGTCGTGAGATGCAACATGGGAGGGTGGGTTTTTTTTACAGCTGTCAGTCATTTGCCTAGTTACTCCATTCTCTCTCTCTCTTTGAATTCCCCAACCTGTTAAGTAGAGATAATACTTTGCTACAGCAGCGGGAGGTAGTTGGGATACAGTCATTAATATGTAGCAAATACTGAAATAAGCAGCACCACAGAGAAGAGTCTTTACTTCTGACGAAGAAAGGTTTTTACTCGTTGTCTTTTTTAAATTACCCCTTTGGATGCTCTACAGTCCAGTGCTCTCTTCCTTTTGTTGTAAAATCACACTGCCCGGCTTTTTTGCTTGCAGCGAATCAGTTAACTGTAGTAAAAATTACATTTGGCTACATATGATTAACTAGAAAGAAATGTTACTGAAAAAAATGTGACTAATTTTTGAGTGAATTATTATGCAGTATTAAGAAAAATGTATTAATTAATCCTGTGAGACTTAACACAAACGTTACACCACAATCAAGATCATGTGAAGGAAGAATTAGGTCAGTAACTGTATGGCTAGAACATTTGCAGAGCCTTTCCTGCTCTTCTGCCAGTGTGTCACAATACCGCCAACCTATACTTGGTATAGGGTATGGGGCAAGGGAAGTGGGGGTTGCTTGCGAGTGCCATGGTATTCGGGGGTTTTAGCGAAGCTGCACCCTGGGGAACATTGCAGACATTAAAGCAATATCAGAAATGCTCACCGAGAATGTCTTGGCCACATCTATGAATTGGACTCTACCACTGTATTTGATCACTTCGTACTATTTCCCTGGTACGTTAGTGTACGTCTGTGTTTAGATTGCTTTTAGTTGATCTGTCAGCCAAGTCAGAATCAGTCCTGAAAACACGTATGCTGAGGAACTTTGAAGTTTGTCAACCTATTTTTTCAGAATCTGTTTTGGAGCTTAGGGTCTTCGTGTTTATGAATGAACACGTTCTTAGCTGATGAAGCATTGGAAGATGAATCGGACTCCATTTCTTCAAACAATTAAGCCAAACTTCTTTTTGAAATAATTAAGTGAGATGTTTCTGTATTTTCAAAGGAGAACAACATCCTTCTGGGGCATAAAATATGGAAAATTTGGATTTGGTGAAAATTGTGCAAGAAAGTCCGCTGTCTTCTGTAGAATCTGACATCAGAAATACGCACAACACTGGCTGCAACTTAAATACTAACAGGTAATGGTGAATAGCACAAACTGATCTTTGAAATTTAAAAAGTGTTATTGTACTCCTCCCTTGAGCCTCAACTCATTTGAAGCGTTACCTCTTAGTGAAAAAAGAAAGCTTCAAAATATGATACGTCTTTACTGTTTCTGACAAAAATGTGATGAAAAAGTCTACGACGTATACATGATATGATAGTTCAACATGTTTCATTTTTTTTAACCTGTAGGGAACGCTGTTATATCAGTGAATTTGTATGCAAGCCTTTATAACTGCATGTTGACCAGTCGTACTTAAATATTTTGTGAATAATTTGTATTTTATGTTAAATTGAGCTGACCAGTTGATAGCAGCATGAAGTGGGTGAAGCTGTGATGTTTTACAGCCTTCTGAATACACTGGGTAAAGAGAGGAGCTGTGGTACGGCTCTCTACTGTGATTCAATGAGTACTGCTGCCAAAAGCCCCAAAATCAAATTTATTTTTTGGATGACAGCAATCTTTATAATGGAACTAGACAGTCTTGTTCAAACTGCTACAAGTTGCCATTTCAAAGCAGGTGAAACAATAAATAGGGAGCAAAGGAAAACCAGTCTATATCTAGAGCATTTTATTAAATAAAACTACCAAAAATCAGCACACATACCTGTTGACTCTTATAACTATAAATAAGCAGTGACATCTTTATATAGACTAGAAGGAGGAAAAAACACCTGTCATCACAACAATCTCTCTTGTCTGCCTCCTTCGTTGCCAATCTAATTTTTCTCTTTAACACTTTACTAAGATAAGAAAAATATATTGTCTCATTAAATATTCTGGTTTGCAGTAGAGTTCTGCCAGACAACTCTGTTGGGAAAATATACACCAGATCCCTTAGGCACGCTTCTCAGCTGTTCCAGGCATCCTAGTCTGGGTGACTTAACCTCCTACATAGCTAATTAGGCATAAGATTGTAATCAGTGGTTTAAGGAAGCACTGCGGTGCAGGTGAGCCAGATGGACTTCTTGTGGCAAATACCTTTTCAGCTTCTCTGTGGGATAGAATGCCTGCTGAGAAGTAAAGTGTTAGGATAAAGTTTTGGGGGCCTCAACTCAACTACCCAACAGAAAGGGGAACAGACATGTTTCCCAAGAAACCTAGGGATCAGGGTTGCCAACCCAAGAACATTTCTTTTTTCCTTTTTTTTTTTTTTTTCCACTGATCATTTGCAGACTTGTTACCAACAGCCACATTTTTTTACTAGTATATGTTTTACTGAATGTAAATGCAACCCTTCTGCCAGACTCTGGATAGCAGTAACAAGGAACAGGTTCGAATTTAGAGGTTTAACACCAACTTCCTAAATCAGGCTCAAGCCCCACTCAGAATAAAGTCTAACTTGACCACAGCGATGGTTTTACACCATGCCATCTCCACCCCAGGGGTCCGTTACTCACCCGCACGCCCTGTTGGATCTGCTTGCACCTTGTACTGTGGTGCTGCCATCCCAGCCTATCCTCCAACATGACCTCTGTTGGCCCTGCTCCCCCCGTCCTGGCATGGACCCCCATCTGATGCCTCTCTTCCTCTCCCAGCACAGCAACTTCATCCCGGCCACACTGCCCCTCCCTGTCTCACCTGATGCCTTGGACTATGTGGCCCTACCTATATTCAAGGCAAGCAGCCATTATAGGCAGGTGATGGCTGACAGGATGTATTGACAGCACATGGCTTGGAGGGGGAAGAGGGAGCCAGAAAGCCCTGCAAGAGAGCTTTCTTGAGAGTCCTTTTGTAAAGCTGTACTTCAACATTAGGAAATTTCCATTTCATCCTCCTGCCCTTTTGGCCATACCCTCTGTCCCCTTGGAAGGCCATTGTGGTAATAATGAGAATATATAATGTAATAATTAATTATTAAAGTACATTTTAATATTTTGTGTTTAAGATGACACTAGCCACCTTGCAGCATTCTGTGGATTCTCTGTCTTTTATGGGAGAATAACCTTGTCCTTGTGATCAGATCAATCAACTTTTCGCCATATTGGGCTTCAGAATACAACTTAAAGACAAAAGGTTTTTGTACTGCAGCTACTATTTTAGCCACCGTTTCAGCAACATTTGGCACAATAAATAATTAAAGGTTCTTTCCTCATGTTTCAGCAGAAGTAGTCCCTTGTCCAATCCAAATGGAGTTTCCAGTTTCTCAGGGAAGACCAGCCCGTCTGTAATTCCTGGGTCTGTTGAAGTGTTGGCTTCCTTTATGCAAGATATTCAAAAGACTGGAAGGACTGACTCAGAAATTTTGCAGAACTGTGAGGTATTTGTTGTTCAGTTTTACTCTTAAACTTACATTAACGTAGACAAGTTTGCATGGCGGAGAACAGGTCTAATGGGGTATAATTTAGCAGTAAAATATAGTTTTTAATCAGTCACTTTAGGAAGCAGGGTACTATATCAGGTAGAATGCTTTATGCTCCAGACTAGAGGTTGGCTTTGGGCTAGATTGACCCAATTCAGGTTAGAGACGGGCCGGTGTGCGGAAGATGGGTGCCAGGGCCGTGCTCTAGACCAGTGTTGCTCAAGCTCTGGCCCACAGATCTATGTTATCCAGCCTGTGGGGCTCCCTGTAGGTTTGGAAACTTGGTTGCAGGGAAGTAGTAGCAGTAATAAGCGTCATAGTGAATTAACTTTATTCTCGCTTTTCAAAAGAACCCTTTTTCCCTCCTTTACTTTTACACGTCCACATAACCTAGGCTTTATTAAACTACAAGTGCTGTCTTATTTTTGAGACGCGTGTACGTAGTCATTTCTTTGCACTACAGATGTCACCACATGAGAAAAATCTCTTGCTGTAACTTTCTTTGGTTGGGATTATTATTTATTAATTGCAGTTAGTAATAGCTAAGTGTGGGGCCATATTTTGATAGCAGAGCAAAAGTCAGTTAAGAAGCCAGTTGTTTTAAATGTTTAACTTTATGATTTATTAGACAAGGTGGCTGCAGTTATTCAAACTGGTGGAGAAACAATGTCAGGAACAAATAGTTGCCCAACAAGAGCAGTTCCACCATCAAATCCAAGTAAGTGATTATTTGTTCATTCACGAGCTTTAGGCTAATGGCTTTTTAACAGATTGTTTTTTAGTTAATACAAAGAAATGGGAATGTTGTATCCACTGCTGCTGTGACAGGCTTGGTCATGCCTCCATATATGTGCATTTAGTCCATGGGAGTTGTGTGTATGTATCTGGGGGGATGACCAGACCTCTGACGTTTGGTGTACACATCTATGGTATCTATATCACCGGGCTACTTAATAGCATAACCTCTAAGAACATTTTCAGAAAGGGGAAATCTTGCATGTTTGATTTGAATTGCTCTGTTTTCACAAAGGCTTTGAAGCCAAATTTAAAAAAACAGCTTTTGTAAATAACTGTCATTTTATGTTTCCAGTTGGAATCTAGCTTTCTTTTAATTTTAAGACAATATAAAAGACAACATAAATTTTCCCTAGCAGAAAACATCTGAAAACTGGCTGTTTTTGTTCTATAGGACCTAACATAGCAAAACATTCATTGTAATCTCTCAGTTATTTTACTCTTGACTTGGAGAACTTCTCACATGAGCGATGAGGGGAGGCTGAGGGAATTGGGCTTATTTAGTCTGGAGAAGAGAAGACTGAGAGAGGATTTAACAGCAGCCTTCAACTATCTGAAGTGGGGTTACAAAGATGGAGCTGGACTGTTCTCAGTGGTGACAGGTGACAGAGCAGGGAGCAATGGGCTCAAGTTGTAGCAAGGGAAGTTGAGGTTAGATATTAGGAGGAATCTTCTCACTAAGAGGGTAATAAAACACTGGAACAGATTACCCAGAGAAGTTATGGACTCTCCATCCTTGGAGGTGTTTAAGACCCGGCTAAACAAAGATCTGGCTGAGATGATGTAGTTGGGGCTGGTCCTATGTTGAGCAGGGGGTTGGACTAGATGTGACCTCCCGAAATCCCTTCCAACCTTCATTTTCTATGATTCTTTCTAACTAAAAAGTAATTCAGGATGTCTTCAGGAGACCTTGCTGTCAAGATTCAGTTTCTTCTTCATCCTTATTTTACAGTGAAAGCAGAATAGAGGGAAGTGTGTGTGTGAGAGAGAGAGAATATCTATTATATGCATAATATTAAATAACTTCATCATTTTTGGTTGCTGTTTCTCCCTTCCCTTTCCTGATGCCCTCTACACGAATAGTAACCAACAGTTACTGAATTGAAAAAAAATAACAAGAGGTACTGTCCTTTTCTTTATCCTATCTCCTATTACCTCCCTGTTTTCTTTCTTTCTCCTGTCTTAATACTTTTGTCCCACCTGCATCCTCCTACCCTTGAGTTTCCTTCTTCATGTTGTAGTGATTTAACAGCCTTGTTGCTAATGATATCCTTGACTCCTACATCATGTTGCTGATAGGAAGGCCTACCTCTGGAAGAACTAATTCTGCACTTTGTGGTATCTGCAGAGACTTACTAACTGCATGAATGGCCAGCTGGAAATTAAAATCAGTGGCTCTAATTTTGCTCTCAGTTATACCAGTGGCAATGAGGAGTAAATCTGTTGGATTCATCATAAAGTAAATGGACTTCGAATTTATGCTGTTTGTCTGAGAACAAATTTTAGCCCCAGGAATTGTGGAAATAATTAAATATAGGGCAAACAGCACACAATTAACAAGGCGATATAACTAACAATTTCTCTACTAGGCTGCGTTCACATGAGCGTCATCATTTGTTTCCCCAGGGACAAGAAGCAGCGATTCTGCCACTCAGAGCCTGGCCCGTAGCTGGAGTGTGACTCTGGCCGGCCTGGCTCCAGTTTTGGGCGGTGTGTGGTTCCCCCACATGTGCTGCTCTCCTTTATTTATTTATTTTTCCCCCATGGTTTTTTTTGACCCCAGGATCTCCTGGGGTCAACCCCCTCTACACTGCACTGCTACCTTGCAGGGCGGAGAACAGCTGAATGTGCGGTATGTGGCCTCACAGACATGTCTGCGGCACTGCATACCGCGCAGCTGCACTCATCTGGACGCAGCCTTAGAGTGGAAAAGTAAGAAACTTTCTTACTTTTTCTTAGTAAGAAAAGTGGTATGTTGATACCACATGGACACCTTTGAAGCTACATTTCTAGACCCAGAACACTCTCATGAATTCAGATCTTTATGAAATCAAGGAACAAAGATTGTGAGTTCACGCTGGAGTTGCAGTGCAAACTGATCTTCAGCTGGTGTCTGTTGTCATTGACTTGAAGTCAGTGGAGTTATAACTATTTCCACTCGTTACAGGTCTGCTCCAGATAGCAGTGAGTTACACCAGCTGAATTATCCGGATATATAAAGCTTTTTGAAAATTGCCCCGAAATCTCCAAAGATTTTACAAAAATATCCAGATACTGGGTCTGATTTTTTTTTTTTTTCTTCTTGCCCCCCGCTGTTTTGCACCTTCTGGAGTCATTTACTGCTGGGCAACATGGGGAGAAAGTGCTACAGAGTTAAAATAATGGTGGTGTTACACACACTTCCCCCCAGAAGGAAATTACTTCAAAAGGCAATAGGCAATGGGACAAGAAAATCATATCTAATAAGGTTTTCCCATGTTATTTTTCCTCCCAAGAAAATCAAATCACACAACTTTGTAGCTGTTAGGATCTAAATAACTAATGCTTGAGGACATTTTAACTGGGGACAGGAACTGCATCCACATGACTCTTTGTGGACAGAGAGAGAGAGAGGGATAAAATACAAAGACAAAGTGCAATTTGCAGTCCGTATTCAACAAAATCAGGCCCTAGATATTAACATGGAACATTTTAATGGCACTCTGCTCGCTGAAAGTTAAATTGTGCATTAATACCCTGCTAATTATAACAGATCTATTTAGGTGACCCAGTTATATATTGGTATTTGGCAGAATATTATACAGAATAGGGCAAACTGCATAGAGATGTAAACCTCTATACTAAAGGAACTACATAATAATTTCCTGTCTAAAAGGGATATTTTAAAGCAGAGAATTCAGTGGTAATAATGTACCTCTGTAAAATTATTTCTATTATACTTAAAGCTGAATAGTAAACCCTCTAAAACCTGAATAATAAACCTTCCAGAACCCACCCTATAATCTTAGACATTTATAACTTGGATATAGATTTACTTTAGACCTAAATTTAGCAAACAAGGTCCTTGTCCTCAGATTAATTGCTTGCTTATTTTTAATTATCTGCTTAAAAATATCATTTTATAGTTTAGTTGGCTGATGCTAATTCAGAAGGCCTATTTGGTACACACATGCATGTTTTGAAATTAATAAATGATTACTAAGCGTAGTCATTCACTGCTTCAAGTAAAGACTATTTACCACATATGAATTACTGTTATGCATTGTATACGTGTATTTGTGTTATGCATGATATATCTATATATATTGAAAACTTTTAAGTGGGGGTTATTTCAAATATGTTTACCAATTTATTAACATTTAAGTTTAATATAAGATGCATCCAAATTGAAAGGAGTTGGCGGCACAGTTCCTTGGTAAATACTTTAACCAATTTCTTTTTTTTTCTTCTTTTTTTAGCTTGTTCAGAATGAGATATGGCAGTTATTGAAGTTACAGAACAGTAATGTTTCTTGGGATTCCAGCAACTGCAGGAGTTCTCCTGCCAAATTTACAAAGAATTTTTCTTCATTAGAAAGTCAAATGGGGTTGAGGTCTGAGACCCTTCAGGAAAATGAGCCGATTGTCAATCAACTTAAGTCTAATGAAGCTGAAAGTCAGCCAAAAGCATCTGCTGTGCATCAAGAGTGTTTTGCAAATACTTTCTCAATGAACAGTGCCTATGGTACCCTTACTGCTTCAGAACTGAATCCCAGCAAATCCATGGACATTAAAAAGTGCATGGAATACACAGAAAAGATTTCCAAAGGACAGGGAGATGCACTAGTGACACAGGGGAATGTGGTCGTAGCCAGCGTACAAACAAAAAGAGAATGTGCCCAAAAAACTGAGGACTCTTGTCCATCACTAAAAGACGATATTTTAGTTTTTCCTGCTGCATTTGAACATAAGTTTAATGAGGATCAATGTGGAAAAACAAACTGGTAAGTGAGCAACTTTCTAGACTTAACACAACTCTAGTGGCTCCCACCCTGCAAACACACAAAAGCAAGTTCATGTATGAAGGTATTCTGTTCATTATTGAAACTGCACACGTCTGTTACATTGTTTTTAAGTGTATCTTGAGTTATGTGTGATGTATTTTTTTTTATTTTATGCCATCTGAAATGCTTTTTTTGATGCGGTGGGACAAATGCAATAGTAAGGTTTTAATTGCAAAAGTAAGCTGAAATAGATTGCTGGCTTACAGCACCTTCTTTTATACTCTGCCAGTTTTATAACTTTAGGGGGTGGTTGTCTGTCTTTATCTCATTTATATGCTCCTGTTACATGTACCTGCAGCCTTCTCATGGCATGCATACATTTTAGTATAAATTGTCAGTTGTGAATTGCAGAAAAGAAAATTTGTTCTTTTGCTGTACCTGGTAGAATGAAAGTAAAAGGGTTGGAAGAACCTCCTGTTCTGAAAAAACTGAACTTAATGTGAATGTTTAAAATGACTTGTATGCTTGACAGTGTATAATAGCTTTTGTCCAGTCCCCCTCAGTGGATGGGTAATGAGATTGTATGAGATTTACTATTATCCCAGATGTGTGAGATTTACTGTTATCTCGCACCCAATGTGTGAGATCACTATTATACTTGGTCTCTGTTATCCCTCCTTAACCATTTTTTATTGGACTAGATGCTAGTGCCCTGGGTGTTGCTGGATGATACCCTAGCTCCATGAGTGACTCCAGTGAAATCAGTGAGACTCTCGTAGGGTAGAATACTGTTCATCATGAGGAAAAGACAGATCTGTTTGGGAATTTTTAAGAACAAACTGATTTGTCTCTTTTCATAGGAAAGGATTGGTCAGTTTCTCATTTTGGGGGGAAAAGTTAGTGTTTGAAATGTGTTGAAACATCCCATTTCCCCATTTTCAAAAAGAACATTTCCATGTATGGGTTTGAAATAACTTTTGTTTACAAAAATGTAGTTAATTTATAATAAAAAAGGAGGGAAAGCTGTTTGAATTGAAATATTCCAGTTCCCCCAAACCAAGTTTTTGTTCATATTTTTAGTTTGTGAAAATCTTTTGTACTTGGGGCTGAGAAAATTTGCAAAACCTCAACACTTTTTTATGAGATGGGGAAAATCATTTTCCTTCCAGCTCTGTCTAAGAGTGCCAGGATTTTTCTTGTTTTGTTTTGTTTTTTGTTTATCTCCTTCCCCCCCTCCCCCGTTTCTCTTGGTTTCCAACAATTTTCTTTGTCTTCATCTCAATTTGTATCTCTCTCATTATAGAATTGCTTGGCCTGTCCATTTCTAGCCACCTAGAAATGTGGTCCTTTGTATTGAGGGTCAAATGATAAGACACACTGGGCACATCTACACAAGACACTTACTGCACATTAGCCTAATAACATTGCACAGTAACATGGTGATTAAAAACTGTGCTAATAACCTACTGCGCAGTGTTATTAGGCTAATGTGCAGTAAGCATCCCAAAATAACTGTGCATTGGTGCTACTTTGCAGTAAATCTACTTACTGCTCATTTAGTTAGTACTTCATTAAGCAAGTACTAAACTAAATGTGCAATAACTAAGGCACATTAATTAACGTGTAGACACGCCCACTCTGTTTGAAAGCCTTCAGGAATAGAGCTACCTAAGATTTCATGACTGTGGCTAACGTCAATCTGTAGCCAATACTATTGCTACAGTCATTGGTGATATGTAGGGTGTGCACGTGCACCCCCTGCAAGAAGTGCCACTGATGCTGCCGGTGGCACCTGTGGGTGGTTGGTGCTCGCACCGCCCCCCACCACCTACACTGCTACGGCCACCTGTGGGAGCTTATGGCCGCCACTGCCGGCGCTGCCTCCAGGCACTCACTGTGCTCCCCCAGCTTCCAGGGGCACACGTCATTCATGGGTACAGTGTTTCTGTGCACTAACTACACTTTCATTTACTATTTTACTTGGTTTATTGTAATCTGCTGTATTCATAGATTTCATAGACAGTAGGGCTGGAAGGGACCTCGGAAGATCATCGAGTCCAGCCCCCTGCCCCAGGGGCAGGAAGTCAGCAGGGATCATAGGATCCCAGCAAGATAAGCATCCAGATGTATTGTTCGCTTGAAATGACCAGGAGACTGGTTGTCTGAGAATGCGTAGTCTTTTGTCCTGACTTCTTAAAATAGTATAGGAAGTTTGGTTCTTCATGAACAGGGTCAATAACTTGCTTTCTCAGTTTCTTTTCCTAGCGCTCACAAGATCAAGAAAGCAAAAACCCAGTTTTGTGCAAGTCATAACTCACTTTTTCTCAAGAGTGCACAAGAACAATAAGGTTTTAATCCACACTTCTTACATGGGGGTACTTAGCAAGAAATTTAATTTTGGTAGGTGCTGTTTCTCCATTGTGTTGCAGTAAAGAGACTATCTGTGGTATGTATGTATGCGTTTTCTTTCCTCTGCAGTAAATCTCTAACGTCATGGGCACAAAAGCTGAAACAAAGCCAATCAAAAAAACCAAATGTGGAAGAAGAAGGGCATGTGAACTCTATGCAACAAAATGAGCAAGGAAAGAAATTAACATTTGAGACTGTAAGTGATGCACTGCTCCTGGCCAGGATGTTTCTGTACAGATAAACCTATTATAGGCTTTTGATTATCACAGCACGTGTGCTCACGATTAGCTTTAAGCACTTTATTAGCACATTATTTGTCCCTTGACTAGTCCCATGTTTAAGTTTTTAAGTATATGTCTAAGTGCCTTGTTTTTCAGTATTTACTTATCAGATCCCTGTTAATAATCAATTATATTTATCCTCAGAGGTATTTGTTTTTATTCACAGCTTGCTTGGTAGCTGTGGCCTGCACCACTGATTTTACTTATAAATGAGAAAATAATGGCCATCTCTGACAGTGTCCTAAAGAAGAAATGCTCAGTTAAAGCTAAATGTAAAGAGTTATTATTACATTCCAATTTTTGTAAAGGGTTTTGTGCTTTTTAAACATTTGTCTGCTATAGTCTCTAGTAATGTCAGGCTGTCTGCAACATACTGAAGTCCTTGGCAGTTGAAGCGCTTAGCACTTTTTAGGAAATAAAAATCATTTTACCCTGTTGGACACTTACACAACATGACTGTTCTTATTGGCCTTTTATGATACATCACATGCCATTTTATTATAAAAATGGTCTCATACAAGAACAAGATAAGTTGTTAAGCCCTATATGGGCATAAATCAAAATAATCTACCTTGAGTCCAGTTCTAGTATGAGTTACTAAAGACAAACCATCACGCTCCCCATGGTAGAGATTGGGGGCTCTGAATTGGATGTTCAAACCATATAGAGTAATGTATGTATTTGTGACCCTGAGACTCGTGCTTTGTGTTCAAAGTTTAGAAAGTCACTCGTTATGTTTTGTTGTCTTCTGCTGTCTGCGCTGAATACATTTAGTTTGCTGTTCTCTTCTGTAAGTTCTTACATTTGAATGGATTTAAAAAAAAAAAAGGTTTCAGCTGGCATGATATTTTTGACTCAAATGGACCAACATTCACTATGACTATATATGTGCTAATCTCAAAACTATGAAGATTTAAAATGACTGTACCTATACAAGTGGTTATACATTTTTCCCCCTTAACCACCCTAAGTCATTTCTGCACAGCTGTTAATAACTCTACTACCCGGAAGTAGGAGCTTCGTCAGACACTGTTGACCCTCTTTCCTGTAGTCACTGTCTTTTGGTAGCATTCACTTGAGACTTCTTCACTTTGTTTCCTGGCTTTGAAGATCATGAGTAATAAATACATTTTAAAAAAGTTAAGAAAGAAGTGAAATACTTCAAGGAAATGTTATACCTGGAATAGCTTTTTGCTTTCATTTTGGTTTTGGATCCCGTTTTTCACTTGGGTCCTCTGTACTTTCCTCTGAGTTTGGTTCTGCCAAACTGCGGCGTCTTTCAGTAAGACTTGCTGCCTGTGTTTGGGACTGAGCATCAGCAGGATGGTAAAAGGGACAGGGGCTCTGCTCTTTCACTTGACTATCTGGAGGGGTAGTCCTGTACATACTGCAGGCTGGTATTTGTCCTGGGTAGGTGTACACAAGCCTTTATTGAGGAGCACGTTGTTTGTGGTTTGAGGCTTTTTCTTGGAGAAAGCCAGACAAATAGACCTCTGTAGCTATCTATATACTGATACCCACATTTTGTATAAAATACCTTGATGATGACATTTTCTTTGACGGGTACCAGAGGCCTCTGTCCAATGTGGAATCACTTTAAATCCCTTGCAATGAATTAGAATGCGGGGAAAAAACCCAATGTTTCTGATCCAATGTGTTCAGGTCGCTTTGGAAAATAATATACAGCACATGCTTGGCCTGTGTTTTTCAAATAACCAGATGTCTTAGAACTGTAGAAAGGTTGCATTTTTAATTCAAGATTGCACAAAACCATCTTTGATTTTAAAAAACAGTGTCTATGAGTTATTAAAAAGATTGCAAAGCCTATTTTGAAAGAACATCCCTGGCAATTCCTACTAAGCCTATGATCCACTCTCTGGCAGAGGCTGGTACCATGTACTTTAGCTGAAGGTTCAGAAAACCTTGTTGGCTGTAAAAGGTCTACAGTTAACCTTGAAACCAGCTGGGAGACATGACCAAGGCACAGAAGAGCCATTTTCCTAGGATTCTGGGAAATTCATGGGTTGAGATGATAGAAACTTCAATAGAACGCATTTGAATAGAACCATTTGTATTCATTTGCTCTGTTCATGCTTGCCCTGTATCTTATTGAAAAGATGGTACACCTTTTTTCTGTGGATGCCTCCTTTTTCAGATTAGGATTACGGAAAACCATATTAAGATGAGCCTACCACCTACTTTACTGTCCTTGTACATTAGAGGCATTTCTTCCTTTTGGTGGGGAAGAGGAGAGAATTATGACAAATTTGATAGGTTAGATGATTTGTTATAGTCTTCTCTGAGCTATTTCTCATTCCTTCTGGGAGTGCTTAGTATTTGGATGGGATGGTTGCAAGGAAGTCTCAATTGATGACAAAGGGTGGACATAATAGGTTAGATATCAGTCAAAACTTCTTCACGGTAAGGGTGGCCAAAATTTGGAATGGGTTTCCAAGGGAGGTGGCGCTCTCCCCTACCTTGGGGGTCTTTAAGAGAAGGCTGGGTAGGTATCTGGTGGGGTCATCTGACCCCAGCACGCTTTCCTGCCTAGGCAGGGGGTCGGACTCGATGATCTGTTCATGTCCCTTCGACCCTAGCATCTATGAATTTATATCCAATAAAGATAAAACGACAGACAGTATTTACCTCCCGATTCCTGGTAGGTGGAGTGGTAACAACTGAATATAAGACATTCCAATTGGTGAGGTTTTATTCACCAAGGCGCCCCCGGGGGTTACAAGAAATAATGGCCACAAGCTAGCAGAGAGCAGATTTAGACTGGACCTTAGGAAGAACTTCTTCACAGTTCGAGTGGCCAAGGTCTGGAACGGGCTCCCAAGGGAGGTGGTGCTCTCCCCTACCCTGGGGGTCTTCAAGAGGAGGTTAGATAAGCATCTAGCTGGGGTCATCTAGACCCAGCACGCTTTCCTGCCTATGCAGGGGGTCGGACTCGATGATCTGTTGAGGTCCCTTCCGACCCTAACATCTGTGAATCTATGAATTCCGGTCTTAGAATGGGGAGAAAACGTACCAATAAATACTCTATCCTATCTCAGTCTGTAATAGCACCTCTTCTGGAGCAGCAAAAGTGTGGATGACTGCCAAGCTGAACAAAAGATGATGTCACAAAAACACTTGCCTAATTTAATTAACACTTGACATCCTTCCAAACGAATCTTTGTGTGCATGTGCGCACTTGAGCTTGTGTTTGTTTGTTTGTTGTCTGGACATAACTTTTATTGTCCCCAGTTTTGATTTGATTGAGGAGACATAAACCGTGCTATAAGATTAAACTTGTAACTAGAGGTGTGTTTAAAAATATGTGTTTAAACGCAAATTTTGGAACTGTTGTACCCTGACTTATTTTTTTTCTGTATTTCTTTGCCCTGCAGTTTGCTTTTTTCTCGTCCATAAACCATTGTTTTTCCTTTTGGCATTTTAGATTAATCTTACTGATGCTGCTTCACCATCCTATGCTTTTTACCTCAGCCAGCCAAATGAAAGTCCAAGTTCCTTAACATCTGAAGCTTCAGGTATAGTTAATTAGTAGTTTATTACTTGTAAAAACTGTCTTTCCTTCTGTTTCGAATCCTCAGATTTTAAAACTTAGTGCTGTAACACATCTTTTGTTGCTTATATTGTTTAGGAATGTTTGTTTCTTGCCCTGGCAGATTGTTTAAATTTTTACCCACAATCTGATTTTGTTGTTTTTCGACTTCAAATCAGTAATGGATTTGGGTGCCAATATCTCAGTAGCTGCTAGAGTGGGATGTAAATATGTTTCGTTCCAAGAATGTAAAAAAATTCCCAAGGTGGTAAAGCAGTATTTCATAACGTACAAGGACTAAACTCTCCATGGTGGTTCAGCAACTCTCTGTGGTTCAGCGATCACAGGGGTGTGGAAACCCTGGCATGTTTTTATACTCCTGTCCCAGCGTGGGAGTAGATTGCGTGAGCCCTCTTTCATCAGTCCAGTCCAGTCCAGACAATCACTTCCCATATTTTGATTGGAATTCAGTGTAGATGCATGTTCGGAAAAAATCGGAGGAGTGAAGTACCTTTTATGCAGATGTACTGCACCCTTTACTCTTACTCATAACCCAATGAGATGGAGTTCCAACTTATGGCAGCAACACAGGATCAAAGCTTTTTAATTATCCCACTGTCTCTTCTAGTTCTGAAAGTCATTTTTAGAGTCATGATTCAAATCAAGGAGTAAGCAATTCAGAATGTGGCTAGAGCCATATGCTCATTAACATACACTTTCTTAGTTCCATTAAATTCAGTGGAATTAATGTGGAAAGACATTTTGTGCTAGCCGATGATCTGACTATGGAGTCTGTATATTTTTCACTGAATTTTAGTGCTCGTTTTCTGTTGCCCTCTTCTTCAGTTCTTGCTTATTATTTATTCTAAGCCATCATTTACTGACGCATTATTTGAGCTGGGGTGCTATGCACAGATCATTAACTCCATCGCATGCCCACCTTTAGAAGTGTTGTGTCCTGTGGTTTTCATTTGTGTCATTTTTTTGGTTTGCAGCAGCAGGGTTAGGAAGTTGGCCACCCTGGCCCAGCACTAACATTTACTGCTAGAATTTCTTGGTGCAAAACCCTAACTGCTGCCAGCAAAGATTTGACGTTATTTAAGGATAGAACCCAGTATCTAACACAGCAGTTAAATTAGCTGTCACACTAACAAGTTGGTAACAGACTTTGTGATTTCTGTTGTGTAGGAATGAACGTTAACTTTTTTTAATGCCTCTTATTTGCTCTTTAGGGCTTACATATTGGAAACTAGATGAGAAGGAGCTATATCACCCTTTGCCTGAGAATTTCAAGAATGAATTTTCTAATATTTTCTCCACAAAGCTGTCGTCAGATCAGGTTCATTTCTGTATTTTCTTTTAAAAACCTTTAATAGTTCTTTTTTTTCCTGGTTGCTCCTTATGGGATGGAAAATCAGTATCTATAGTTTACCTACTCTTGAAGTGGTTTCATTTCTTGCATGATGCTGTAGCTGTTGAATCAGCAGAGGTTCCAGCTCATGCTTAGGTATCCTCATCTTTGGAGCACTTGCCTTTTCCCAGTCCTCGTAGGACAGCACCCGAGTCTGACATCGAGGGCATCTTGCAGTATCTCCATTCCCCAGGTTTTTGAGAAGCGTGGATTGAGGAGGGTCTAAGTGAACCAGTTAAAAACAAGTGGTATTGATAAGCCTGACAGGTTGGAGTTGTACTTGATATGGGTTAGCTTGCAATTTTTATACATATCTTTATATTGTATGACTGCTCAAGAGTTTTTTAGATGGGCCGATTTTATACAGGACCTGGAATAAAATAAGTAAATTAGAGACAAGTCCCAAAAAATAGCATTCTAACTTCAGTTCATAATTCAAGTATCTTTTTAAGTCAGTAGTTTTCAGCCTTTTTAGACTCGGGGCATCCCTCAGCAGACTTGAGGCACCCCTCCATAACGTTTGTGAATTGAGTGGCACCGTTTAAAAAAACTAATTTATGTATTACAGCGTTTACCTCCTTGCACAGAGGCTGGGAAGTGGGGGGTGGGGGAGCAGCCAAGCAGGGATAACCTGAACCTGCCCTTGTTTGCTCATCTCGCACGTCCTGTTGCACCCTTCAAAGGCTCTCGCAGCGTTTCAGGGTGCCCTGGCCCCTTGTTTGAGAATCATGGTTTTAAATACTGTGGGTCTGCATGACTTGCTCCGGTAATTTCCAATACTGTTATTTCATTAGTTTTATGTACATTTCAGCGCACAAAGGGAAGAGGAGGTGGAGAGAGAGTGATTAATTCCCCATACAATCATGCTTCAGATGATCCACACTCATTTTTATTGAGTGGTGGGCTTCCATCTGCATTGAGAAAAGTGAATTTCCTCAAGCCAAATAGCTCTTTAGCTTTTAACTTCCACTCTCAAATCCTGCTCCTTCATTATTCTCTTTTCTCAATTAACATGTTCTAGACTTGTGGGTTTCATTAAAAATGAGAAGGCGGCAGAAATGCTGTACCTTAGCCAGATACTGTAGGGCTGAATCTTTTAGAGATATATTTTTTCTTTTGAAGGAGGAACAATGGAAATAATTTTTAATTAGACTTCACCCTTTCGTCACTCCTTTTGTAGATTCGGATGGAAAGTAACCTTCTTTTAACTGGGCATAGCTTGGAGCAATCAAATAAAGTTATCATCTGCTTCCTGGGCAGGCAAGGTTTTTTGAGTAGATGCGATCTCTTTTATTAGTCCAAATGAGTAGTTGGAAAAAAGTTCTTAGCAAGCTTTCAGGTGCAGTCATCCTTCTTCAGGCATAGGGAGTCTCTGCTGTTCTGAGACTCCAAGGAATCCGCTTCCTGTCTTTTAAGTTTTTAAGATGGTTTATAGGAGAGAGGCTGATCTTTTACTAAAAGCTTTCCTGAATGTATTGAAGACTTACTGTTTCTACCTGGGCTTTTTGAGTAAACTTTTCCCAATGTTTCTATTTTATATTAAATTAATCAGATAAAAAATTAACTACCTACCCTGAGTGCTTTTTCAGGGAAAAAAATCTTAGCAGTTTTGTTTCTCTGTTTAAGTTGTCTTCTGGTGAAGAAATGAAGCCGTCATCATTGAAGGATATTTATCATAAAAAGCAAAAGGAAAATAAGCAGCTGCCAGAATGGAATCGAATTTCTCCTTCTCAACCGAGTCACCCTCCAGAGGTAACACTTATTTCCATAAAGGTTTGTTTTGCGGTTTGAGTACATAAACTTGGCAAATTGTCAAGTTTCAGTCTGGTGGTACTCTTCGTCCACAAACCAACATCTACCCATCACAACACAAAACAGTCTTTGTTATATTACTTATATTCTTATACTATACCTATCGCCATGGTATCTCAGTGCCCCTTTTTTTGTCTAAATCATCAAAGAAATGTTCAGGTATTGTATACACCTATTTTGATTTGAATGTCCTATAGATGTGGGCAGACACATTTGCCTTCATTTACTTTTGGCTTTTATTTGAAAGGTTTTGTTCACAACTGCAGGGATTTTTTTCACTTAAAAAAGGCAAAACACTCAGGCCCACAATTTGCAGATACTAGGAAAGAGTACCAGCTCACCAAACTACTGAAGATCTACCCAATTCTGCCTCTGATTTTTGCTACCAGCTAACTGTTGTGATCCTCCTTGTGGTAGTTCTGTAATCAGTGTATATATTTCTGCCTTAATTTCTGTAAAACCTTGTATATGTTATGGATCGAATGATACTTCAAGCGTAAAACCAAATGTCAAGTCATAGTTTATTGGTATTTAATTTATTTTATAGGTTTTAACACTGGACCCGACACTGCACATGAGACCAGGTCAGCATAATCCAGGACATTGTTTTTTCAGTACCTCTGAAGAGAAGACTCCTTTTTCCCCGGACTCTATGGCAGATCCCACTTTCTCCAGTCATTCTGACACAGACTTGTCTTCACATGCAAGTAATATAACTTCACCTCAATTAGAAGGTTCCCCAAAATATCCTTCTAGCACTAAAGCCATATATCTGGATCCCTGGAAAAATCATGGCTTCCAAAATGAAACCAAGACCACCTGTTCTTTTCCCATGGCATATGCTGATGCTGGTAATATTTTAATCCACACCGAGGATGAAGAAAGTTTAACTTTAACTCCATCTTCAATTACCCAGTCACAATTTCCATGTGCTGCCAGCAGTTTACCAGAATATAGTGTTTCAGTGGCATCCTTTGAAGATCCTGTGGTGTTGTCAAAGTAAGTGTTTTTGAAGTTTTAGTCTTATGTAGATAGTAAACTTTGTCCTTTTTGTAAAAGTGAAATTAAAAAATACAAAAAGTAACAGAATGGGAAGGAGCTGCATTGGTTGAAAGCTGCTGGCTGTCGCATAAAGAAGTCTTGTCTTGGGCAGTACATATCTGTGCACAGCCTGTGTAAGATAATGATCATTATCCCCATTTTACAGGTGAGGGAAAACTGAGGTTGAGAGAGCTGAAGGGATTTGCTGAACACCACACTATTTGGTGCGAGAGACAGCGTTTATACCTTGATCCATACCCATTGTTAAGGGACTTGCATAGGAGATTAAGTAACATCTTCTGTCTCTGTGTCTCTATTGTCATCACTTATAAAATGGAGATAAAATTATTACAGATTTCACAAATAAATGAGAAAATTAATTAATATGTAGAAACAGTTTCAAAGAGCTAAAATGGTTAAGGTTTCTTCGTGTCCATTGATAGGAATAGTAAAGAATCACAGTGCCTAGGACAGGTACCTGAGACAGCATTACTCTGTTGAAGCTCTCCTGATTTCCACAGAGGCCATCAAATACAATCTATGCTAAGTGTGGAGGTCTACAAAGGAATCGTGCTTTGGAGTTTGCTCCAGTGGGTTTTTGTTTCCTATTTTAATTTTGAATTCAGATCTGCTGGAATGCATATTTCTGGAGAGGAAAGGTGGGGTAGGAGGGTGAAATGTGTTCCTCTGTATCTCTATTCAGGACCTAGCTGCTTAATTTTTGCTCCATTTGAACCAATGGAAGCATAAATCTGAGCATGAGCAAGATTCAATTTAACGAGAGAAATGTATATAGTAATAAATATGGTAATGATGACTTAAATGTTAGGGATTCAGTGGTTGATAGTGTGGACTAAAGAGAGCTTTGGACATGGGAGGGCAGAAAAACATTAATTTTTGTTCTTAACTTTATAAAACAGGATTAGGCAGAACTTGAGGGAAAAACATGCCCGACATATAGCTGATCTACGAGCTTATTATGACTCAGAGATCCATAGTTTAAAACAGCAACTAGAGGCGAGTCATAAAACTGCTTCGTCTGAAGATTTGAAGAAAATCAATCAAAATCTTGTGGATAGGTAATATTTGTCTTTGTGACTCTGTGTGTGTGTGTGTGTGTGTGTGTGTGTGTGTGTGTGTGTAATGTTTGTTTCCTCTTGTTAAACAATTATTAGTTGTTTCAGAAATGTTACTTGACCTTCTTCAGTTGCCAAGGTTTTATGGACTGATAATGTTGATATTTAATGTTAAACAAAAATTGTTAGCTCTTCTAACGTCATGCAGCATGATTGTAAAATTTATGGGATACTGGGAGGAAGACGGGACTGGTAAGGAAAAGAGACTGAGATAAGGAGCTGGGGTGAGAAGCAGACTGGAAGCAATTCAAGGAGGTAGGTAAATATAGAAGATTAGACACAGAAGTGGGGAAAAGGGAGGAGACTGGGACCATGTGCTGAGGAGACTGATGGTGTGGACAGGGAGAAACTGAAAAAGAGGGGAGTACTGTGCCTGAGCCCAGAGGAGGAGACAGCACTGCCTGGACAAGGCAACGGGGACTCGGCGGGGGGAAAGCTTGAGGGTTGGAGACCAGGACTGATTGGTGAAGAGATTGGGATAAGGAAGCATAAGTAAAGAAGAGATGATCTGAAGGGGACAGGGCAGATGTGGGGGGCTGACTTCAGGAGTGGCAGAAAGGTTAGTGCCCACTAGCAGTCTGCCTGTCAAAACTAGAAGGGAGCACAAGATTCCAGCTGTCAGCAGATGCCTTGGAAACCCACAGACAGAGTGTGCACGTCTACACAAGATGCTAAATGTACAGTAGACTAATTCTACTGCACATTAGCATATCATGACAAAAGTTGTACTATTGTGTTAATGCACAATAGAATTAGTCTACTGAGCATTAGCGTCGCTAAAAAGGCAAGCGCTGGTGCTACTGTGCACTCACAGTAGCACCGGTTACTGCACATTCAGTTAGTACCTGCTATTACAGGAGCCAGCCTACCATTGCTACCACTAAATTGTTAGCACAAGTGGGAGAGATCTTTATGGGTGACTGGCTGGTGTCAGTATGATGGAGGTGGCTATTCCATTTCTTTTTTTAAAAAACCTACAATTTTACTCACAAAAACAATAGTAAAAGAATTTCATCGAGGTTGCAAAATCAAGTGCTCCAAAGTTGGGAAATGCCACAATGAAGATTGCTGGTGAAAGGCCCTTAAGCCCTTTTGTGGGAATGCATTGGACAGAGGCTTGAGTTAGATAATTGCATGCTATTTTTTCAGTAGGTACCAACCTCAGTCTAGACACTGAATGGATTTGTTCTGGGAAGGAGTCAATAAAAGACGTTATGGTCTGTTGGCCTCCTGTCTCGCTTGTTAGAGGTGACTGGCAAATTGCAGGGAGAAAGAGGTTATTCTCATAATTAAGGCAGTTGGAGGCTGCCTTGATGTGTTGGATTTTTGCCCCTGCCTCAGCCACCCAATTTCTAAGGCAGTGGGGTCAGCAGGTATACTACAAAATAGCCTTGAACTCTCCCTTAGTGCCACTCTGATTTCTTTCCTCTTTCTGATCTGCAGCTCTTCTTTCTGCTCCCTACTCTGTGCTCCCTGCCTGGTATGTTGCTCTGCTTCCTGCCCTATTTGCTGCTGTGCTGTCCATCTCCTCCTTGATCTCTGTTCTAAGCAGTGCTGGACAAGTCCCTTCAAGTGAACTTTCCACAGGCACTCACTAACTGTGTTTCTCATTTTCTTTTTGAGCAACTTGGGACCTTGAAGCCTGATTTGCCAAAGTACTTGTCACTGACAATTGTGTCTGAAGTCACACATTTAAAAAATAAATGGAAAGTTTAGACCTTAATATCTCTGTGCTTCAGTTCCCAGAATCCCCACTCTACCACCTTCCAGGCAGGTTGAGTAGTTTTTGTGAAGTCCTATATATTATAATGTTGTGTATCATAGAACAGCTTATAAGAAAATGAATAATTCAGTTGTCAGAACAGTATTTGAAAAGTAGACTGTAAATAAGGCTTGAAATATTCAAGAGCTGCTTGTTAACTGGGCACAGTCCATTCTGTGCACTGAATGAGGCCGGGGCCATTTGGAAAGAGAAGAGTTTGTGATCATGTCATTAAAAGCTGTATCGTAATACATTGGGAGCCTTAATTCTGACATTTCCTCACTTTTCAGTATTTGACTTTGCAACCTTAATGTTCTTATCGCATTTGTCTTGTTTGTTCATTTAGAGGGGATGCAATACATTTGTGGCCAACTACCTAGCAGGCTTATCTTTAATTATCACAACTAATACTTGCAGCCGTATCCTTTAATTTTGTAATTCTGTCAAATATGACAAGATAATAGTTTCAGATGAGTCTGTTCTTTGACTCAGAAACATTTCCCTGCTGCAGGAAGTGGTGTTTTGATTCAGTGGGTGGCAATCTTCCTTTTGAGTCAATATTGAAAGAGTGACCCAGCATCTTATTAAAGCACACTGACTTTCTGGTGGTACTGCCTTTGCATGAGAATAAACCTAAGGTAATTGGTGATTATTACAAATTCCATGGCCTTTTTCATATAAGATGTAGTGTCAGTTCTGCAGTCCTGGCTGAACTCCATCTGGGCTAATTACTCTTTGCCTACTTCAATTCTCCCAGACATTCAGTTGCACAATAGAGTGTTCTTCACTTTCTGTTCCAAACTATTGTATTGCAGTGGTGTAAGATGACAGATGTGTTTATTTACTGAGATAAGTGCTTTCCAGGGTAAAGGAATGGATTCCTGTGAAATAGTTGCATTTAGAACATGCTTTGAAATCTTTTGGGGCAAATGATGTTCAACCCAGAAAATCATTAATTGTTAATTTCAAATTAAAATGTTTTTATTGTCTGTATTTGATTATTTTTAAAATAGGTGTGACCAGTTAGATGCAGCTTTGAATGAAGCTAGTGCCCGTATGAGAGCCCTGGAAAATAAGAATAATATGCTGGAAAAGCAAGTGGTAAGTGTCATTGGTGATATAGATTAAAGTTATTTATTAAGTGAATAAAATAGATGGCCGAGTGCAGCTGTTGCTTGTTATTCTAATCTGTGTATTTGTATTTTTCTCTCTATTCTCTTGTCACACTCCCTGCCCAGTGCATGATGTGTAGGTTATGTTCTACAAGTGTGACCCTCCTGTCTCTTATTCTTAAGCTTTCCACTTGGGTGTTTTGGATGAGAACCTCCATCTTTGTAACTTTTTACTATTTTATTATTTGTAAATGGCCTCTCCCCCTCTCCTTCACTCCTTTTTTCCCATTTTAGCAAGGACTAAGCAAAGTTCAGCAGAAAAATATGAAAGAGATGGGCTTCTGATTTCTCTCCAAAAATGGGAGAAAGGAGAAAAAAAAAAGTCTAGTTACTTCCTGTTTAGCTCTGTCTTGCATGGGTAGGGAGTAAGGCAAATTCATGTGCAGTGAGGCACAAAATGCTATTGCTGTCCTCCTCTCATTTGCAGAGGCCTGCCCATCTGGGGCAAAATACATGAATCCTCCAACCATGACCTCCAGATTTCCTGCTGGGCTTGAGTCATGTCTTTCCTTACTGTGGAGCAAGCTGGTTCCTTGCTAAAGACTGTGAAATAGTTATTCCAGATGGAAATGGGTGTTTGACTCTAGTCTGGTGTAGTACAGTGCAGAGAGGAGCTTTTATGTGTGGTGTTGTGTAAATAGATGTATTCACTTTTGTTTCCTATTCTAGTATGGTTTTAGGTTACTCTTGAATATTTGAGACAAAAGTTTATTATGAAAATGTTTGAATAAGTACTGTTTTTTTTCCTCCTGCAGACAGACTGGAGAGAGCGCTTTTATGCAGCCAGCAATACTTCCAAAGTTTTGCAAGAACGTATTGAAGAAATGCGCACAAGTAATAAAGATAAGGATAACACCATCAGCCGGCTGAAATCTAGGCTTAAAGATCTCGAAGAAGCATTTGAAAAGGCTTACAAGCTATCAGACAATAAAGATACTAGGTTAAAGGAAGAAAATAAAATGTTTCAAGATGTAAGTGAGAAAATCATCAGTAACGGTCTGATCTGTACTTTTGGTGGATGCTTGGAGTAGAGTGCTCAAAATTGATTACAGCAGACCCTTAAGTGGCCACTCTCAAGGTCTGTCTCTTCGTCGTGCTCAGAGCAGCCAGGCAGGACGCTAACGGCAGCTTTCCTGGCTTTGGCATTTGCGAGAGGGAGTAGGTAGGTGGGTCGGGTGGGTATGAGATCTCACCTCTCTGAGAGACCCAGGGGTTTGGTATCAACAAGCTCCAAATGAGGGACCAAAAAGACACAGTTGCTTGGTGCGTGCGGTAGTTAAATGTGGAACAAGAAAGACCAGAAACCTAATGGATATTTTTAAAGCAGTTCCTTAATGTAGAAAGTTGTCTGCTTGACATTAGCGCTGGTTTCACTGCATCTTATTTTAACTGCACGTACTGAAAGGAAAGAACATTTTTAATAGCTCATCTTGGATATTTTATTACTTTTTAAACCATGAGTTTACTTTACTTTGAGAAGCATTAGAAAGAAATAAAATATTATTTATATCTTTCAAATCCAGATGGCTAGCTAGGTGGTGTTTTGCAACAGCAGGGAGACAGATTTTTAAAGACTCTGCCTACTCAGTTTCTTTTTTGTCTCCAGCAGTTAAATCTTTGTGCTATCTTAGCTCACCATCTGTGTGTCTAGAAAGGTAACGTTTTCTGAACTAATTTTAGAACTAGTGTCTTTTTTTTTTTTTTTTACTTCACTGATGGACTGAAACTCTCTTTTTTAACTTGTAGCTTTCAGATTTTGTTTTATTGCAGGCCAGTTCAAGAGCCTCATGGTTTTTAGTTCCTTGCCATTAGTTTACGCTCTGGCAGAATAGATATTAGTGCAGAAAATTTATTAAATGTTTCAGCTTCAGTGGGGAATTTTACCATTCACTTTAGTGCAAGCAGAGCTAGGTTAGTGTTGAGCACATTTGAAACTTCTACTTAAACTTTGTAAGGTTTTTTTTCCCCTTTTACTTTTTTTCCAATTGCTTTCTTGCCACCTCTCCATTCTGAAAAAAAAAGCTTTAATAACTTGTATTTTTTTAACACAGTTCGTTTTATAAAACTCAAATATACTTTAAGCAAGTTTGTGCTTGAGCATAGAAGTGTTATGAGCTAGCAAACTGTTATCATCATCGACGCAAACAAAAAAAGGACACTGCTATTTTAGAAATAAAAATGTGACTTTATGGGATTATCCACAATGCTGTTTTCTTCAAATATTTAAAAATATCTGTATCTTTGGGAATTAGAATTAAAATGTGGATTGAAAGCTAAAACAGCTATCGGCAATAAAAAGGACTAATTCCTACATAGATATAATTGTTTTAGGCAAGAGACATGACTTTGTAAGAAATGTCATTTCTTTTACATTACCCAATAGCACTCTTCTAGGGTAAAATTCAGATCTTGGCCTCTGTAATTAAGCCTCAGGTAGGTAAAGCATTTCCTCAGAAGCTTTAATTGTTTTGCTGAATATGGATTTAAAAATGGAACTATTCCTTAAATATTGTAGACATCCCTGGCATGTGTCCTGTTGAGTGGTGACTTTTTACCTACCCCTTATGAACTAGGAGATCCATATTAAATATTTTTCTTATGATTTTGGCCCTGATTTTGCTAATTTACTCTGCTTTGCAGACTCCTCTGCTCATGTATAGCAGCACTGATTTTAATGCAGCTGCATTGGTGGACAGGGGTCCTTCTATGTAAAGCACATTGCAGGGTGAAGGCCAGCATCAGAAAATTGTTTTTACTTTATAAAAAGGACCTATGTTGAGTCCCTGCAAACCCTTACTTGCATTGTTTAGTTTAGTATATGAGTCTTCAGGACCTAGATCATAACTGTCCATATCCAATCTGTTCAGTTTATACCAAGAAGACTTCACTTTCACTAGTAAAATAAGACACTCTCTACATTGCAGACTCTCCAGGGAGAGAGTGTGTATGAGAGAGAGATTTCCAGTAGCTATTAGAATTTAATTAAAGGTATTTATAAAAAGTAATTTTGGACCCTAACAGATCTGACAGTGTCTCTTCAGTTTTTTGCACCACTAAACTATTCATCAGTTTCAGTAATTTTTACATTTAAATCTTAACAGAGAAGATTGTCCCCTGCCCTGCATGTTGGTAAGAGCCGGGGGCATGCGGTACATCCTGATTTCCAGGTGTACTGCCTGGCTTGTCCTAGTGTGAAAGCCAGAGCAGCCTCATGCCTCCGTTTAAGAGTTCTGTGCCTGTGGATGGGTATGGTGGAGCCTTAGCTTTATCCCTTCACTGTGCCATTTAGCACTACTTTGCAGGCCCAGAGGGTGATATCATCTGCTCCTGGCATAGACTGATTTATGTAATAAACCCTGGAGCCAGCAGGAACTAGGGAGAAAACTTTTATGGGTATGTCTGCGTAGCAGTCTCTCCAGGGACCCTGGGGAACTTGTACTGTAAAATGTTGATTATCTGGAATATTTAGTGTCACCATCATTCTGGGTAATTTGTTTCTTCTGGGAATCTGTGCTGCTGCTCGAGTAGGCCCAGGGTGGCCTGGGGTTGCTTAATCAGGTATAGCAACCAGGTCCCACAAGGCTCCCTGACAGCTCATCACTGGGCAGGCTGTCAGGGAGCCCAGCACTCTCTGCATGAGTCAGAAGAAAGAGGGGTAAAATTAGAGGGGGGGGCCTTTCAGTTAATTGATGTTCAACTGCCAGATAATTGATGGGCTGCCATACTCTGACTGCTAACACTTGCCAAATACAATGTTGCTACATTTTCACTGCTATTGTTATCCACATTAGCTTGATTGCTTCTGGGTTTTATTTTGTTTGCTTTTAGCTTCTAGGAGAATATGAATCCCTTGGAAAAGAACATGAAAGAGTAAAGGTAGGTGATCATTGATAAATCGTATTCTGATATTCCTGTTTTAAGTAAAATCCTTGGGTGTTTATACATGTGCTTTGGGAATTGTGTGGGGGCGGGGTGCTTTAATTGGAGCGGCTCTGAGAGCCACTCTGATTAAAGCGCCTGGAGTGTCTTGTGTATTAGTGTCACCCACATTTCAAAATGGTGATGGGGATGTTTTATCTAAAGTTCGTTGAATGAGCTTTAGGTAAAACTCCCCTGTTACCATTCTGAAGTGCGGGACGCTAATACATGTGATGTGGGAGGCTGCTGGAGCATGGCAATTATCACATTTGTCAGAGCGTGTATAATTACAGAGCGTCAGAGCAGCCTCCCTGCTTGTGTATAGGCACCTCTTCTGTTATATAGGTCTGTCATTAGTGACTATATGGGAATGTCCAGGTATCCAACTATGAGTCAAGGGGACCAGCTGCAGGTAAGGAAAGGTTCCAGTATTGGGTTTGTCATATGCCATAGAGATTCATGTGAATTCACTATTCAAGTATGTAGCAAAGGATAACAGGGATAAAGTTATCCTTTAACATAAAGGTTGGTTAAAGTGCTTCAGAGGAGGAAGAAAATGTTATTGTTCTATATGATTCAAATCAGAACCATCAAGGATAATGGAAAATCTAGCTAAAGTCTGTTAATTTTTAACGTAACTCAGATAAAAAGGGATGCACATTGTAATTCTTCAAGATAGATGCAGCATTACTCATTTTTCCATTATTTGGTGATACAGATCCTGCACTAGTTATTTTTTCCTATTTTACAGGATACATTAAATGCAACTGAAAACAGATTGCTTTATGCAAACACCCAGATTTCTGATTTGAAAAGGTAAAATGTGTTATCGGCTTAGTGTTATTTGAATAACGTAAATCTAGGTTACGATGCAGCTCGTGTTTAATCCTAGATAATGAACATTATTGGAGCTCTTTAGAACCAATTTGTAGAGTTGCAATTTGAAAGAATTAATGGAGCCCTTTATACAGAGATTGAATTTTCCATATTACTTTTCATAAATTTTAAGCGCCTAATTATTTTACGGCATTTTATATTATTTTTCTTCCCTGATTAGGGTCCCTTTTACAAAATGGAATGAATGGGTTCCTTCTCCTGTATCTTTTGTCACTCCATTAGTTCTGTCACTCTATTGATCAGGCCTTTTTTGCTATAGTAGCCCCTCAAGGTCACTTATCTTCAGCTAACTAGTCTTTGTTCTGGTTTCAGGAGCAAGGATGCTGACAGTAATTTGCTAGTCAAGATTATGGCTCCTATGGCATGAATAAAGGACAGGAAGGTGTTTCATTTCTAAAGCAGGAATAAGATCTCCTATGACTGTCCTTCCTGTTGCCTGGGACCTCTCTTTTGGCTGGGAGATAGGAATCTACTGAGCTTACATTTTCTGGGTAGGACCAGGCAGGACACATTACCACCAAGGGATATAGGACAGTGGCTGAAAACTAGCCAATAATGTAGCAGTGGGGCTGCTACAAGTCTTCAGATCTTGTATTTCTCAAGCACTGCCTTCTAGGAATGCCAAACAGTACGTTCATAGTTGAGGAGAGTGGACGTTTCTCCATGTTGGGAAGGCTCCTAGCATAGGCCACACGCTATCTCCCCATGAGCTGACCTCTGATGTGAGATGGCTCACTCTGGCCCTAAACACCTTTATACTGGGGCAGTTTTCATCCATTTTCTAAACCACTATAAAGTACAACAGGATCCAGAAGAGAGAAAAATGCAGCTATTTCCAGGGTTGCTGCATTTAGTAGTCTGCTGTATTACTATGTTTCACCACTAAGTAGAAGAGGAGCAAACAGCTGTCTTGGTGTAAGCTATAGGCATAACACCTATGCTAGACTAACTTACCCTACTGTAGCTTTACCCCTGATTTTTCCCAGCCAGATTCAAATAAATTACAGCAGTGAAGGGTTTTATAGCCTGTCTTTGCAGACTGATTACACTGAGGAACTGTTGTAATGTGTCCATGTCCAGAGTTTCTCTATCATGAGTATCTGCTGTCAGCCCTTATCTCCTTATCTTCACGTGGGTAGAGTTTTTTAGAACTGAGAGAGACCTGGAGAGGAGGGAAAATTCAAGTTCCTCAGTGAAGATTTTTGTTTGTTGTATCACATTGCTACTTCTCAGATATTGGCCCCCTGTTTCATCCCATAATCTGGTTTAGATTTCATTGCTACCACGTCATTCTAGATCAAGCCTTTTAGGTTAATTGGCCAAGAGAAAACTCAGGAGCTGTTTGGATTTTGACACGACCCTTTTATAATTTGCACAGTTCATATGACTTTAGAGAAGAAACATTTTGATCCACAACAAAACTTTACAGGCTCGGTGGTGCTATGCTAGCTGGCACCATGTCTGAAAGGGACCTGGGGGCCATAATTGACCATAAAATGAATATGAGCCACCTGTGTGATACTACAGTTAGCAAAGCGAATGATGCACTGGTTGATGCATGTCAGTGTATCTCAAGCAAAGCTAAGGAAGTTATTCTCCCACTCTACTCGGCATTGGTGAGGCTGCAGCTGGAGTACTGCATCCAGTTCTGGGAGCCACACTTTAAGAAGGATGTGGAGAAGCTTGAGAGAGCCCAGAGAAGAGCCACTTGTACGATGAGAGGCCTGAAGAGCAAGCCATATGAGGAAAAGCTGACAGATATGGGACTGTTCAGCTTAGAAAAGAGAAGACTTCGGGGGGATTTGGTGGCAGCTTACAAATATATCGGGCTAGGCCAACAACTATTCACCAAAGCGGCCCAGGGTAAAACCAGGAGCAACCATCATAAACTCCTAGAAGGTTTCAGACTGGATATAAGAAAAAACTTCTTCATGGTTCATGTGACCAGACTCTGGAATAGACTCCCAGCAGGGGTGGTACAGGCACCTACCCTGGAGATCTTCAAAAGGAGACTGGACGCACGCCTTACTGGGGTGATTTGACAGCAGCACTCTTTTCTGTCCAGAGCAGGGGGCTGGACCCAATCTCACGAGGTCCCTTCCAGCCCTACACTTCTGTGATTCACTTTGTTCTAGATCCAAAGAAGTCCAGATCCTGTTTAGGTTTCCAGTTTACTCCTCTATTGAGAAAGTATAGTTTATTAATGGCCTTAGAGTGAGACCTCAAGCTGCAAGGCTGTTGAAAAGCTGAGTGACCTTCTATGTACAGCTGTTGTAGGCAGTGTGATGATGAAGGGGTTGTATTTGAGTGGAGCAGTTAAGGGGAATTCAGTCCAGTATTCCTCTTGCCCTGCCTGTTTCTCCCATCTGTTTCTAAAGATTGACCCTTCCAGCTTGGGGGAACTTCACTGGAGAAGAATATTTTGTTTTCCTCTATGAAAACTGTTTCTATGAAGGGACCCCCTAGCTGTTGTGTTGTAAATCTGATAAGGGGTTATGAGCATCCTTGCAAAGGGCTGGTTAATTGAAGAAGTGGGGAGGGAACTTTGTGTGAAGGAGGAGAGAGTTATGACATGAAAAACCTGAGCAGCAGATTGGTTGAATTACTGGAGCGACATGTGAGGAGATGCTCTATATTAATTCCAGAGTGGGGACCTGTTTACAAAAATGCACACTTTTATGGAGGAAAAAGGATGTTTAAAAAAAACTCCCCAAAGAGTATCTCATCATCCAGATAGTCCAGGTCATCTCAGGAGTGTTTTAAATGGCTTTAGACTTGAACTAGGCCCCAGAAATGTCTCCCGCGTACCTTCCTCCTCCCCTCACCAACATGCCACTTGTTACTTATTTGAACATGGAGCTCCACATAATATGTATATTGGTTATCCTCCTTCCAGTATTTACACACCAGAACAAAATATTTATGTTAATATTGTTTAAGATGTAATAGATCTTTTTAAACTTTTTGGAAATCTCATTGTAACATATCTCCCTTACTTCTTCATTAGAACAATTTCAAAACTAGAAGTTCAGCTCAAGCAGGTAGAGCATGAAAACATGTTGAAATTCCGCCATATTACTGAAAGTCATTTAAGAACATCCCGTGTCAAGTAAGTGACTGTCCCATCATTGTTAGGAAGTGGGTGATGTGTTCTGTTGTGCTGTGGAATTACTTAAATGAGTAGGAGTTGATTTGCTGAGTAAGGATTGCAGGGGTGGAGATGTAGAAGCTGATGGCATAATTGGCCTGTAAAGTTCTATATAATTGAGCCTTTATGTTTGAGTCAGGAGGGTGCTTATGATGCACAATTAAAAAAAATGAAAACAAATGTCTTGAGAATAATAGAGAAATTAAGTTTGAATGTGCATTCTATTAGAGGGAAACATAGATCCTCCTTTGCTATGTTAAGGGTGCTTCAAAGGTATCTTTATCCAAAGTGTATCTGTTTCAATTGATCATTGATTCTGGGGTGCACTGAAGGTTAGTCTAAGACGGACATTCTGTATGCAGATTATGAGATGGAAACACTTTTGACAATTTAACATGATCCTGAACTATAGTAGTTTTTTACTAGTCGCCTAAGAAATGTATGAAATAAGAGATGACAGATTATTTCTCTTGAGAACTATTTTATTGGTTAAAAGATGGGAACCCTCAAAAAATAGGAAAGCAAAAGGCTTAAACATTATGGGTTGAGGTGCCATATTGGATTGGCACCGATTTGAGGAAAATTGAGAGCATCAGCAATCGGCTTTTTTTGGCTGATGTGGCTGATAAATGCCGTGTGCATGCGCACAGCTGCAGCGCAGCACGCAGGCGGCCAGGAGCACAGCCCGGCAGCGTGGAGAGCAGCCGGGTCCAGCTGGTAAGTCTGTGAGGGAAGGGGTGTGGGGGGGGCAGATCAAGGCCCCTTGTGGTAAGGGAGGGAGTGGGGCTGGGGCAGGGGCAGGTGCTGCCCAGCTGGGGTGGGTGCGGTACAGGATGGAGCTGTGGATTATCTGGGGGTGCAGGGACTGGGGGGGTGTCCTGCTGCTGCACACAGCCTGGGAGGGCATGGAGGGTGTGTGCTCCAGATCTGTGTGTGGGGCAGGGTGGGCTACCACTGCGGGTTGGGGCCTGGGGCAGTGCTAGGCTTTTCCCAGTGAGGGGCTGGGCTGGCCTGTGGCAGCGCTGGGAGAGGGGGTTGGGGGGGCTAGAACCACCCCAAAATTTGCCCTGATTCCCAGCACCACCACCGCCTGCTCTGAGCCCAGCCCCCCTGCCACATAGAACTCGGCACAGCCCTGGCCCCGGCCCATAGCGGCATCCCGCCCTCGCCCCACATGCAGATCTGGGGGCACATGCCCCCCCCATGCCTTCCTGGGGTGTGTGCAGCAGTGGGAGCTGCCTCCCCTCCTCTCCCCTTGCACCTCCCCAGACAAGCCGCTGGTATAAATGCTATTTCTAAAAACAAATCTTAGAGTCTTTCGTAATTTTGAAGCTTTACATTTTAGTAGCAAGTTGGCAACCCCTGATGTCAGCAGGCGAAAGTGGTTGATCCCAGGAGCGGAGTATTCGATTTTTACAGGCCAGCCTCTGGAAAGCCAAGAAACCAAGGACAACAGACTAGAAGAAACCTACATTCCTTCCAGGTACCATAACTTCTATAATCCTGTTCTTCTCTGATGTTGTGGGGAGTCAGGGGCTGCTTACAGACATGGAAAAAGCCAAACAAACAGAACTAGCACTTTGCTTTCAGCAACTAGCACAGAAGAGGCATTGTGGTAGTTTGGCCCGGCTCACCCGACATCTGCATAGATTGTATAGCTTTAGATAAAAGCACCAAAACCCCCCCGCCAAAGTGCCCGATCTATACAGACGCTGGGGAGCTGTGTCCACTTCCTCTTCTGGGTAAGCTCTGTTTGTTTGTTTTTTCCACATCTGTCAGCGGCCAGGGATGTTTTTAATATAGGAAAACATGACAATGGAATGGATTCTTATTCTTGGATCTTGTACTAGTAATTTATTTAGATCTGTAAAGCATGTATCCTTTGCTTTAGTTGCTATGGAGGTCTTTACAAAAAATCCACTTCCTCAATCTAGTTGAAATAGGCAGAGATAGTTTTACCCCTCCTTAGGTATGTCTTGTGCCGATGCCTGCTGCCCTCGGAAGTGTTCCATCTTGTTTCCTTTCTGTCCTTGAACATCAAAGTTATTCCCGGTCAGCATTACGTTGTCTCAGATGTAGCTCTCTGCTGGTTCTGTAGTCTTGTGTTTTGGTTCAGGTGTTATTCTTTTTTTTTTATGAGTTCTTGTTCCTCGTAAGTGTGCCAGATTTCCTCAGAAGAGATTTGTTGTACAGATTTTTTGAGTCCATGATTAAAGTTTGGGTCATCAAACTGGATGCATTTCCAGTGCTGCTCAAGTCTGAGTGCTCACACTGTTCTGTAACCCAGGCTTTAGAAGTCCGACGATCCTGGAATAAATGGAGAAATTATTGAACCTCCGGTTTGATTTTTGTAACGTGGAACGTTACTTCTATAGGACTGTATCTTTTAGTTGACATTTGGAAAGCCTGCATACAATATAAAAGCTTGGCTCCTCATGTGCTTTTTTCACGTGCTATTTAAGGCACCATTCTCCTCCAGAAAAGGACTCCTCACAAGAAGACTCTTCAGCAAATGTAATTGGAAAAAAGGAAAATGAGGCACCTGAGACACCCATCATGAAAGCCTTTAAGGAACATGAAGAACGAAAAGCATTTAAAGATTGGACCACGCAGACGGAAAAGGACAACACTTCCGCCAGTAAATTCATTTATATTTCTAGGCGTGTCTTGACTTGCAGCCTCCAAATTGCATGGCTTTTTGTGTTTGTTATTCCCAAGGATTCACACTAGTCTGGCTCAGGTGACAAGGTAAAAACAGTTCATAGAGGGCATCACTTCCTCTGTTAGATCTGTATTCTGCCTAACAAAACCTGAAACTAACCTAATTACTTGTTTAGAATAGTAGGAACACTACTGCAATAAGCTAGTCTTTTTAGCTCAGTGAGCTTTCTCTGGTAGAGTTTTCAGGAAATGTACACACTTTAATTGAGTAGTCAAAAAATTCTGCTGGCTTTAAAGCCACATTTGTTCTCCTAGGATAGCATCAGAACAGAGACGTGTACACTGACCTGTACTAAATGGCTGAGCTGTGTTTAATCTTTTCTTTTGTATTGCTGGAGCCATGCTTACACATGATACAAAATATGGTTCCAAGATGTGACCTTTAAATTCAGTCAGTAAAATTTTGGACTTATTCTATTAACGCCTGTCTCTGTCATCCTGCCCCTTCAGCTGCTTTTGCTGGCTTGCATTCTGCTGCTGCTTTCTGTTAAGCCTGTGCTGTTTCTCACTTACTCAGGCCTGTGCTGTTTAACTTCACTTTACTTTCAACTCAGTTCTTTTCTTCCATATCTATGCTGCAAACAAGCTTCTCCTTATAGGTCAGGTTAACAATCTATTTTAATGAGTGTCAAACAGAGCTCAGTTTCTAGTGGGGACAAGAGTTAAGAATAGATATCCTTTCATTATAACAAACACACTGACATGGAAAACAGCTGAGATGGAGTAAGCACAGGTTTATTTACAGTCGGTTACAAAGGAGCTGAGTGAAAGAGGATCTTCAGCGTCCCATATACTTTAAGAGACACATTAAAATTCACATTTTGTTCCATGACAGAAACGTCAAATCGACGGCAGACTGTTGGATTTGATGAAACTACTTTCATTACTAGTTGGTCCCCTGAGAAATGTAAAGACCAACAAAGACCAAAAAGATACAGCTCACCTAGTGGGCAGAGGTCATCATCTCTCCCTCCTTCCAACAGGAAGTCAAACACTCCAAGTAAGCCTTTCTGTTTACAGTTTTGCTTGGTGTCCCTTAAAAAAGCAGTTAGTCATGTCAGGTTGTTTCACAAAGAGCAGAAGGTTGGAAATTTAAAATTTAGGATTCTCTTGTTATCATGGATTTTCAGAAAACTCTCACAAGTGACAGCAAACTTTGAAAACTGTAATTTGAGCATTTGGCAAGGTGACACAAGCTTTGCATGATTTAAACAGATAATAACTCATAGAAAACTTTGAAAACCATTCTTTGAAGACACTTGAGCAAGGATCCATCTGCATGGATCAAACTATTAAGAAAAACTCTGCATAAGAAAAGTGTTAGGTACTTAAAAGCCTTTCCTTCTCTGCAGCAAGAAGAGAGATAATGTTGGCACCAGTGTCTGTGACGTACAGTCCAAAACGATCACCAAAGGAAAACCTATCTCCTGGATTTAGCCACTTGCTTAGCAAAAATGAAAACACAGTGACAAGGTACAAATTTGCAATATTGGCTCATTATTATTTTCTGTGCGTATTCAGGAATTGATACTGCATGTCCGTACCCTAGCAGGAATAGTCTTTGTTCATGCAAGTAATCCTGTGACAAGGCTCATGCATGAAATGGGTGCTGTCTTTAGTGGAAGGGATTGCCTGACTGGGCCTTGCATCTGAAGTTCCTTTTTGAAATAAGGCAAGAATAAACTTGGATAGTTCCCCTTAGCTTACCAAGGTGTAGTGCTGGGTATATCATTATATATGATGGGATAATATTGACCAATAGCAGCCAAAAGACAGTGGAGATATCATCCTTTGTCAGTCCAGAGTAAACCAGGGTCCTCATTTAGGGAGACAGATGTACCAAGAAAATGGGCAGAAGAGAGCACTTCCCATTCTTTTCCACCCATCTGTAGAAACATTCTTGTTGGATGAAACCTCCTGCCATTTCATACACGTTCTCTGAACATTTGCTAGATACGCTAGTTAGCAGGATGTGGTGGAGCTACAGTGACCACACGCTCACCCCTGAGGGTGTGCAGGGGGAGTAAAGGTATTCCATTCCTTTCTCCTTATGCACAAAAGTTCAACATTTATTCCTTTTCACAACTTCAGGGGCTGAGTCACATTTAAAGTGTTCTTGAGAGTAGGATCCGGCATCCTCCTTTGGTAAAATTGCTTCGTGATTTGTTGCTCCTGTTTGATGTGTAGAAACAGAAGAACTCAAGGGCAAGTACCCAGAGGGATCAGGTTTTCCAGTGAAGAGGACATGGTTTGCTTATATATTAAGACAGGGAAAGATAGGAAATAGTTTGTTTCAGCTCAGAGTTATTTGTAATGATTAGTCATTTCCAATCCCCCTCCACCCCTGTCGTTCTGTAGGTTTGATATACTCCTGGATGATTTGGATCTTGCTCCTGCTTCTACACCACAACATAGCAATCCAAGAAAAAGACTCCAGTTTCTCTCACTAGATGATATAGAAGGTAACTTGTCAAAATGGGGGAAAGATTTCTTTTATTTGCTTTAATCTTGCAGAAGGGGGTATTTTCTTTATCATAGCTTCTCCCAACTAGATAAGAGATGTGTATATAGTAATCACAAAAGTTTTCTATGAAGTGCAACTTTCAAAATCCTTATCTATTTTGTAGCCTTTATCTTACAGTAAATAAATGGTGTAATAATGTTGTTTGTAGATACAACAAAGTGGCATGAATACAGTAGTTCATTTTTGTGTGTACCTGCATGAGGACAATAGGCTAATAAAAATCATTGCATTGAAAAATAAGAGAGGAAATACGTTCCCTAATACCTAATTTAGTTAAGTAGAGCATATATTGCTGGGAGCCATATTAAGTGGTATGTACCCAGTCTTATTAATAAGATTCTGTTACAAAGTGTTGCCTACAGATGGTGAAAGGTAAATGTAACACAGCCAGTTCATTTGGAGGTTTTTTAAAATAATTGGATGAGTCAAACTAATTCTTACTTTTGTTGGTGTTTGTTATTTTTGCATTGGCTAATTTATTTAGAATAGCGTTGTGATGCCAGGCATGAAGAAACTTGGGAAACCTTGCATCAGTAAAAACAATTGTCAATCCGCGCAATATAGCAGAACCTGCAGCTTGTTAACTACAAATTGTGCCTTTACATCAAAATCCGTCAAAAGGCTAGCCAAATGAACGTCCTGTATCTGCTGTGATGTTGCTAATGTGGGACTCTGGGAGGCCAGCTAAAAAGACTTTGTTACTCACTAAATTAGGTTTCATACCTAAAAGATGGCAGGGAGTCAGCACTTCTGTGGTTTGGTTTATTTTCTGTTTTAGATCATATATTAATGGAGAATTTAAACAAAAACAAAACCACTCCTTTTTTGATAGGAAGGCAGCATTCTGGTAAGGGCATCAACAGCTGTGTTAACTACAATTCTTGCGCTGAATCTTTGCATCCTGGAACGAAGAAAGGAACTGTGGAGTCTGCCTGGGAAGAGAGGAATATAACACACAAGAATAAAAAATGCATTCGGGTTAAGACACTGGCTGAAACGGAGAGACTTTTTGATGAGCTCACACAAGAAAAGCAACAGGTAAAATGATCTTTATTCCAAAATTGTGAAAGAAACAGTGTGTCTAGGAGAAGCTCGTGGTATTGCAGTGTACCTGCATGAGACCTGGCACAAGGTAATGGAAAATGCCCAGTGGTGTTCTGACAACACGCCTTTATCCTTGCTTACTGAAATTCTGATACTTTGACTCTTCTGATGTTCTTTATGGCTCTTAAGAGAAACGGGGAGGGAGGGACTAGATTGAATTTATTTTCTTTTGCAATATGCCAAGATTTGAAGTCTCCCTTTCAAAAATGAAAGGCAGGTATCTTGGGCTGTTCTGGAATCTACTTGGAAGAGTGTCCTCGTCTTTCAAAACATCTTTGTAAGACTGGGCAGCAGTATGCATGTTTACAGCCAGAGTATATTATTTGGTGACCTGGCAAGGGATGGTCATATCTGAATAACTGCACTGCATTTATACTTCTAATCCATCCCTGACTTTTTTTGCAGATTAAAGATGTATGGTAGATTTCTACTTGCTCTTGAAGCTGTAATCATTTACAGCTGCGGTATTTTCTGTATTACTAGATTGAAGCTGCGTTAAGTCGAATACCTTGTGCTGGGGGAAGAATGACCTTGCAAACAAGATTAAATCAGGTGAAAACACTCATTATATCATGTATCAGTGACTAATCTTTTCAACTGTCCTCCCAGTTGGTAGATGCTCACACTATATTTTCTGTTTCATAAGAAAATAAGCTAGTCTTTCTTGGATCTATTGATGTAAAACAGTATTTAAATTAGACTAATTTACATGAGCCAGAGTGTGAACTCCCTGCACACTCATTTGAACTTTTTCTCACAAGTGAACAGAAAGTTTCCTTTCCTTTCAATCACAAACATGCAGCATATACTAGTATTTTGCATATTCATTATTTGCATGTAGGAGCAGTATTTCAAAATATTTTAAATAGTGCAAATATTGAACAGTTAAACATACAAGCACCCCTGAGAGTGTAGATAACGGGTAAAAAAAATCAAGAATGACTAATAAAATCCAGGTTCTTCTAGGACAGGACACTGAAGCTGTTTAGCAGAGCACAGTTCTTTAGAACACAGTGTGAAAAACATCTTACCCATCTCAAAGTGTAAAAAAGAACTCGTGGAGGCAGAAGTAATTCCTAAAGAGGGGAGATGCCAGCATTCAAGCTGCTGCTTCTATGGAAAGTTCTGGGAGTGAGGTTAATGAACACAAAGGGTCAGAAACTTCTGTTTCATTTCTCAGCAGAAAGCCACCAGCACACTGCCTCCCCAAACCAGGCTGTAGTTCTGGTTTTTCACTGCTAATCAGAATGCAATGTACAGAACAAATATCACCATATATTGCAGTGAGTAACTTTCATAGATCTGTCCCACTTAAGTACTGACCTGACCAGACCTACTTTGTATGCGAGATCTGACAAGATGCACCGGAAAAAGATGCTATGGCTTAGATCGATATCTTGCAGAGACACTGCTTTCATTGGCCTTTGAACAAACCAATTTATTAATAGTTTAGTTAGGCAGAATGTATGCAATTAAGCCACAGGATTGGTTTATGTAGGCAGATACCCTGGTGCCAGGGTATGGCTGCTCATGCATCAGAGAGAACATGAATGCAAAATGGAGACGCTAACAGGATATTCTTTATAAAAAGACCATCGCTTGGAATTGAATGGAATTTTTTTTTTTTTCTTTCCCAAATGTTCTTTAGGAAGCCTTGGAAAATCGCTTGGAAAGGATTAATAGAGATTTGGGTTCAATCCGCATGACGCTGAAACGATTCCATGTTTTACGTACCTCTGCAAATATTTGAGACTTGTGTCTATTAAATTTGGATATGCTTTGGTTTGCACTAACATAATTATGCACTCAACGAATGCAAATTGTTTTGTATTTTTGTAAGCCCTCAACAGTAGTTTTACAACCATGTTATCCTTTACACACAGCAATATTTTGTACTTCAGACAGCCACCTATATTTTAAACATATTTTTGTTACACTTGAGGAATTGATCCGTTTATCGTGTATTTTACTATTTTTAAAAATAGTAACTATTTTTAAATAGTGGTATGAATTCAATTTATAATATGAAGAAGGAAGTAAACAGAGGCAGCTTGTTTTCTGAAAACAATCATGTTGTTATCCTTTTGCACTCACTTTGCTCTCCATTTTATAGAGCACCTGGCCTATACTGTAAATAGTAACTCCTAGGTAATTTTGAACTTTTATATTATTCATAAGGCGACATGAAGCTTCTGTGGCAAAATCAACTACAGATATATGCTAGACACCTTCTATTGAAAGTATGTAGCTGGGTTTTAATTTTTCTTTTGTTGTGACTCATTTTAAATGCATCTCTACACACTGGAATTCTATTTAAGCATTGTTCTGTATAAATTAAGAGCAAGCCGTTGAACAAACAGAAGAAAATAAACGTATGTGGTTTTTTTTTACAGACTTGCATTTCTTGTGTGATTGCGGGGGGTTCACAGTATCATAGAGCTGTATGAATCGAAGCGTATTCTCTAGACTTAAGATGTACAAATTAACTTTCACAGACTGTTGGAAATACTTGGAGACAAATTCTCTTCCATACCCTCTGGTTTTCTCTTCCTTTATCTCAGTTTTGATGAATGTTCTGTAGGACCACGTGGATATCTTCAACATGCAACCGTCTTGTAACTTGGTCTGATGCCTTATCAGCATTCATTTAGGCTCAAAGTGGGGAGATGCAGAGTGCTGTGGAGCTAGACATATGGCATATAGACATATACACGGACTTATCTGCAAGAGAGGGCCAGCTATGTATGGGATACTTTTCATGCCCCTTCCAGTCTGACGTGGGGCCAGGATACTTGAAACAGTCTTGATATTTTTTCTTCTTCTCTAGTCCTCTCGGTAAAAGAGGTTTTGTTCTCTATTGCCTCTGTTTTATAGTTTGCCATTTAAGATTCCATTAGGAGTCATTCAAGAATAATTATCAGTGTAAATACTCTTCAAAACAAGTCTCCGCATGCAGGTATCTTCCCTTGGGGAATGTTTAGCTATCGTCAGTATGTACTTACATTTCAACTCTGGTCTCCATTAAAATTCACCTCCAATTATCTCCTTCACACACACAAAGAAAGACTGCGTACAATGAAAGGAAGCATCGTGGCTCTTAGAAAATAATACTTGACGCAGAAAAGCCTTCAGTACAAGATTGCAGGAAGTTCGCTGTTGATGGGTGAAAGGGGGCCAAGTACGCTTTCATTTTGGCCTTAGGGTTTGCATATCACCAGTATCTTTTCTGAGAATTTCATGCAGCACTTATACTAGAGCAGTTTCAGAGGACTTTCATTTGTAATGAGTGCTTTCTTTATACATTCTTAGGCAGTAGAAGCAATACTTACATTAAGTCAGGCTGGCTGCAAACTGGTATATGTGTGTGGCTAGTGTGGTTGCCACTGGCCATGTTTGCAGATCATTTTGATCGTTATTTTACTTTCAACCTTCATGTTGTATAATGTTTTGCCACAGTGCATCATAGTGGAGTGCCATCATTCTTCAGCTTTTATGATATGTGTCGTATACTCCAAAGAAGTATCCTGCTTTGTTTGAAACACCAGGTTCTAAGATGACATAACTCTGCTTGAGGGTTTTTTGGGGTGTTTGTTTTTCTTTAAAGTATGCCAGATACTAATCAGTTATGTTGTCACCATTCTGATCAGAGTTATGATTACACACATTTAAAACAAATTCTGCATTTACACACCGAACTTCTCATGATGAAGAACAACATATTTATTAGTTGGCATATTGCTCAAATACAAAGCAGGCAACCTAATCTTGCAGTTAGTATTTTAATATTAAATAAACATTTAATTAGATTTTCTTCTGCTGCCCAAGGAATAATAATAGGTTTGGGGATATTACCCCAGTGCTAATTTTGTTTTTAGTCATATTGTCTGATTTCAATTTCTGCCTTGGTTCAAGATGTATAGCCACCAACGATAGGACTGCTTTTCACTGGAAAGGGCAGGGCACTGGCATGAAGGAAGCTCGTGAATATCTGCTTCCAAAATCAGAATGCTTTGTTTTAAAATACTCAGTGACTATTTCAACACATGCGCCTACAAAGAAATGATATTGCATACAGCCTTACCATGGGCCTTTTTCTGTGCTAGAACAGAGAGGTAAAGTTACTTAGTGAGTACATTCACCTAATCTTTACATTAGAAGTGTAGAGATGAATGCCTCAAAGATAACTGTCTCTAGCACAATCCTGATATAGACAGAAGCGTTTATATATTTTGGTCTGCATTTTGGAATCAAAATGCTCAGAGAGAATAAGAATCTCAGCTTCCAAACGGCTGTATATCACCTGGCAGAAATGGTGTTATGTTACCTCCATTTTGAGTGGTCACATTATGCCTGCTAATGCCTTCAACCATACAATTCAGCCAGCTGGACTGCTTAGAAGGAATCCATCACTAGGTACATTTACACGGAGAATTAAACCATGGCTTCAGTCTTCACATCAATTTAGGCACATTATTCTCATTTACAGCCTTGTTCTCTTCCCTCAGCTTTGCAAAAAAACTATTTTCCTTAGAGAATTGATACCCCTACTGGTTTCCAAGTTCAAGTACTCTATTATATCTCCAATGTTATTCATTTTAGACCTAGATTTACCTCCATCCTATGCTCCTTGCTGCTGCTCTGTTTTATTCCTCTATTTTTATATATACCAGAAAAGCTGACTCGTGAGCCAGAGTCTATACAGTATCTACCAGAAAGTTGCCTTGCATTATCTCAGGCTTTCTGTGACTATTTCTGCTATATTTTCAGGCTGCTGAGGAGAGTCCGAGATGCTGATCCTGACAAACTTTTAAGATAACAGTTTCCAAAAGCACCACTGATTTGGGATATTGTGGTTAAAACACCTCATGACTGATTTTCAGAGGTTCAGAGAACCTTCACCTCCAGATGAAGTCACTGAGGACATCGAGCCCAGGGTGTCAGAAGCTGGGTACCAAGAAACTGAGGCAATAATACAGCTTCTCCTTTGGAAAATGCAATAGTTACTGCCGTGTTGGTTGCTAGATGATGTGCGTATTATTCCCCTTCATTTACATTTTTTTTTTAGTTGCACTTTAAAAAAATATTTTCCTTTAACCCACACACAAACCTTGCTTTGTGCCAGGGCCAAACAGTGTCTTAACAAAGGGCCATGGGCTGGCTCATCTTCGTGTTCTTTCTAAGCATAGCTTTAGTTTTTGCCCCCATGCAATTTCTCCCGTGTCTCCATCACACTTCAGATGTGGGAGGAGCTGACCAATGTCCTGGATTTATCAGGTTTTGCTCAAGTTCTCAGCCTTGAGCACCCCTTTAAGCCAGCTTCTGGCATCACTTCTTTATAAGGTCAGGTCCACTGCTCCTTTAGCTCGAAGTCTGGACATTTGGGTTACAGCAGTCCCGTTGCCTCCATGACTCTACCAGTAGGTCCAGAGTAGTTCAACCGCTGATGGGAATTTACCCTTCAAGGGAAGTAAGGCAACTAGTAGTAGTTGCAGCGACACAGTCAGCCGTTCCAAACAAGCTGGCATTTATTAGCCAAGTGGAGACAGTATGCAGAGCCCTTAGCCTAGCCAAGATGAACTCAAGGCAGAATTCACAGAAGCAGGAGCAAGTACCGGATGTGCTGTGTGATCCATTTCATCTTATACAATTCTTAAACCCAGACAGCAACACCTTAGCCCCCTTGTCCTCTCCAGTTGTTTTTCCTATTCTGCTCCACGGAGAAGTTTAAGCCGCTCTTTTTTAGAGTATTATTGCCAGCACTGCCTCTCTGGAATTCCCCATTCACACATGCAGTCCTTGATGGTTCCCTCTCTCGCCTACTCTCAAGGAGAACTGATGCCTTCACAGCCAGAGGAGAGCAACCAACAGGCACGAATAAACTGAGTCATGCCCATTATTCATCAAGATATTAAAATGATTTCCATATTCTCCACCTGGAGAAACCACCAGTTTTACGTGCATCATTCTTTTCTGTTTGTTTCCTTGTGCAGATCTGTGCATCTCGCTTGTGGTGCTGGATCCTGCCTTTCGACTGCTGCCTAGATGACAGTGTGTTAGTAAAGCAAAGTGGGTAGCACATTAGCTCCCTGCTCGGCCAAGTGCAGAGAATGAAGATCTGTTCTCAAACTAGATACCTGCAAGATGGCAATGGACAGAAACAAGAACAGACCGCTTAAAAAACATTAGGACCAGAGCTGTGTCAGATTCTTGCTGTCAACCCCCTTTCCTGTCCTGCTGTCTTCTTACTTCACTTGCATCTCTTGAAGTATGTTGCATGTCTTAGGACTGATATAACTTTGTAAGCGGATGGGAACCTTGCAAAGCAAGTAGAGAGACAAGGCCCTGCTTTGAAGAGATTATAATCCCCCACAGAAATAAATCGCAGGGTAACAGATCAAGCGTGAGGCTGCAGTGAAGGCGTAGGAATAGGCTTTGAAGAAGCGTGATGCCAGGTTAAGAGTCAATCCATATGTTCACGGAGCCATGTTGAGACTGCACCAGACAAAAGGAACAGTAGGGAGGGGAGACCCAGAGGCTGGTAAGGACGGAGTAGGTGTGGGAGGAAATGAGAGCAGAGCAGCAGGCGTGGGCGAGATGTATGTAGGGCCTTGGAGGTGAGGACAGAGCGCTTGAGCGTGCTGCAGTGAAAGTTTGATGTAGTAGCAGCGCAGTGCTATTGAGGAGGTTTGCATCAGGGGTCCATTGTGGATCCCATACCTCTGCCAGCTGGCTGTGGCGGGTTGTTTAGAGTTGTGTAATATGAGAAGCAGTCAAGTCCCGGAGTTAAATAACCGATGCCTAATTATTTTTATATTGCATAAGGAATCTGGTTATTTCTCAGGCTTCAAAAACAATACAGACCCCCCAATTTTTCTTGCTTGCTGTCCAGCCAAGACAGGAATTGCCAGTGCCGCTGCAGCCTGGCTATGGATGTGACGGTTGCAGTGCGATTGTCCCAGACTGGGTGCTGAGGGTGTGAGGATGGGGCTCAGCCCGCCTCAGTACCTGGCCATGACGGAGGTGGGACTAAAACAAAGAGTCAGTCTTCCTGCTGTTGACCGAGGGGATGAGTGTGATGGAGAAATGAGGTGCGGGAGACCAGTCTTTTGCACTCACTTCTTGGAGTTAAATTTCACCGGCCTTGGCATCAGGTCAAGGAAATGAACATGCAAACGCTGCAGGGAAGAGCTGCCCGTGAGCCCAGGGTCACGTCTTTGCATGGCAGCATCTGGGGAAGCGAACCTAGGTTGCCCAAAGCTTGTACGCTCTCTTATTTCGTCTGTCCAGGTGCATCTCTCCCCTGCCTCCACGGGCACATGTGCCCTGCCCAGGGGATCACATGGGGGTCTCCCAGCCCCACTGGGGCCCTCATGGGACATCCATCAGCACAGCCGGCCACGGCCCCCGGGCTCCTCCCGGGCCGGGGGGTGTCTGAGCTGGGTGCAGCACGGCCCCAGACGCAGGCTCTGAGTCTGCCGGGCCAGGCCCCTCTGTGACAGGGAGCAGCTGCCCTGCCCCTCACGGGGGCAGCTGGTGCCCGGGCTGCAGGGGGCAGGTGGGTCTGGGGCAGTGGTGCGCTCCAGCCTTGGGGTTGGGCGGAAACTTCCACTGTGCCTCAGTTTCCCCATGTGTGGCGGGGCTGCCCAGAGGCTTGGGTGAGAGAGGGGTGCGTGTGTATGTCAAGGGGTGTGTGTGTGTAGGGTGTATGTATGGGGGTGTGAGAGAAGTGGGAGGTGGGTGTGTGTAGGGCGTTGGGGTGTGCATGAGGGGTGCATGTGAGACGGGGGTGTGGGTGCTGTAGGGTGTGTGAGAGCGGGGTGTAGGGTGTGTTGGGGTGGGGATGAGGGGGGGTGTAGGGTGTGTTGGGGT